CCACAGTTGGAGCTGGCTATGCGTCGTCCTCTTCCTTGTCGGTGAAATTGTGTGTCATCTAGTATTGATCCATCGTAAATGCCAATTTTATCAATTATAAAATCAACGGGACAATAATCATTTGAATTGTTATTACATTTCTTAAATCGCATCCTACGTTAAATTCTTTTCTCATTTGAGAATAAAGGAATAACAAATTTGTCCTAATTAAAAGTCGGCTCTCGACCAAAATCCTATTTCTTTTCTAAATTTTATCCTATCATTTCTAAGATATTATCTTTCTTAAATGATATTACGAAAAGTGTGGATATTAAAATATCGAAATGAAAGAGGATCCTTTTCCTTCGAAAAAAAAAAATAAATAAATAAAATAAAATAAAATAAAATAAAAAAAAAAAAAAAAGAATCTCGTACCTTGTCAAAAAGGATTCGTTTGAAAATATGATAAAATTTCGTCGTACACTTGGCTCAATGACACGGTCATCTTATTGAGATGGGAATAAAAATATGATGTATTAATTTCTTTCTTCTTTTTTTTTTTTCTTTTTTTTTTTCTTTTTGCTTTCTCCAAAGATCATATGTACAGAACCTCGGACAATTCTCCTTCTCCTTTTTTTTTTCTTTTTAATTTTTTTTCTCCCTTTCATTTTCTTCTTCTCTTTCTTTCTTTTTTTTTTCCATTTCCTCCGAGTCATATCGGAAGGTCGCAAAAAAAAAAAAAAAAAAAAAAGAAAAAGAAAGAAAGAAAAGGCAAAAAGAGTTCCTAATCTGAATGACTCGACTCCGATCCTCGATCATTCTGTCCCTCTCGGAAAGGATGTGAATGCTCGTCGATCGTCGTGTGTGAAATCGATGGGCAAGCGTTAAACGCGTACGGGCGCGATAAGCTAAACTCCTAGGCAATATGTATATCGTTCGGGGTATATAATTCACGGATATTCACGGGCGAGTAGCTCTCAATTCGATCGGACGTAGAACGAAGATAACTTTAAAACCTAGCAGCCGCATAATATACTGTCTGTGTGTTTTTCTAACGGTGTCACGTGATCGGAAACTTTTCGAAGATACAATCGCTATAAATTTCTACGTGAAACGTGAAGAGCTCTTTTACCTTCAACGCTATCCACGTCAAAATTATTGTTAAAATTAAAGTCAAAGTTAAAAATTTGAATTTAATTTATATATTTATAAATGAATTACATATTTTTCTTTCTTTTTTTTTTTCTTTCATTCTTTCTTTCCCTCTTCCATACTTTCTCTTTTTCTTCATTTCGATTAATTTACTTATTTCAAATATCGCAAAATAGATCGAAGATATTTGGAAGATATTTTTGAAAAAATTGATTGACTCTTTTTCCTGATTTTTCTCGTATCCGTTTTTTTTTTTTTTTTTTTACAATTTGATTGAACAGTTTCAAAAAAAAAACAAAAAAACAAAAAGAAAACTAAAAAAAAAAAAGGAATCATTTTAAAAACTTTCAATTCGTTTCTATTATCACCGTTGATAATTTTGATGATATATCTCCAACGAACATTTCAATAACATCCCGTATTATGTCGAGAAGAGTAAGTTGGATCATGGCGAACACATCTGTGGGATGCACAAAAAAAAAAAAAAAAGAAAAGAAAAAAGAACGATAACGTTTTAAACAGGACTATCTCGGTTAGATTGTACAGATCGTAAACGTTTTAATGAATACTTTCTCGTTCAGCTCGTCGTCCTTAACGGGAAAGAGGATTTTTATTTTCGCACGATAAAACGATTCTAAAGCGTTGTCTACCGGTTTTTAAAATCTTACGAGCCATCCTTGCACGAAACATTTCTCTTGTCGTTTGTCGTTCCGAAATCGATCCTTTTCATTATTTCATCGTGTAGACGGTATTTTCATCGCGTACAAGGACGATTTTAATTGAAGTATTATTTTCTCACCTCGAGATCATACGCTATTATTAGTAGATTAAATTAACGCCGAATGATATTATATTATTATATTTTTATCTTCTTTTATTTATTTATTTATTTTCTTCTTGTTACTTTTGTTATTTTCATTGTACTCTTTATACTTTGCTTTTCTATCTTTCTTCTTCTTCTTCTTCTTCTTTTTCTTTTTTTCTTTTTTTTCATATTTCCTGAAAACACGTCGTAGTGTTATAAATCAAGAAAACACGTGATGTATAATAAGAATGAAAAAAGAAGAAGAGAAAAGGAAAAAAAAAAAAAAAGAAATAGGAAAGAAAAAACAAGGCAAAACAAAAACAAAAAAAGAAAAAAAAAAAAAAAGAAAAATGGAGAACGCGATCCTTTTTATTTCTCCCATCTCTATTTTTAATGCTTGAAAACATTTCACGTTAATTTTTCACGATATTCGTACGAATTTGTTGTTGTTGTTTTTGTTGTTTTTTAATTTATTCACTTCTTTTTTTCTCCATTTGCTTGCTTTTTTTTCTTCTTCTTCTTCTTCTTCTGCTTTTTTTTTCCCCTCTCTTCTTCTTCGTTAACAAAACTCGTAAAAACGTAAATGGAGTAGTTAAACGAACGAATAAAAGGATAATGGAGGAAAAAATCGACATAGAAAGAAACGGTTTGGGACGAACATTTGCTTGTTCTATTCCTCTCCCTCTCTCTCTCTCTCTCTCTCTCTCTCTCTCTCTCTCTCTCTCTCTCTCTCTCTCTCTCTCTCTCTTTCTCTCTATCTTTCTGTCTCTGTCTTTCGTGTTCTATGTTGGTTTATAATTATCACCGCAGTCGTACCGTCGCGGTCTCGCGAACGGTAGGTATGCGCAAACGTGTTCTAAGCGACGTGAAAGAGCCTTGCTAGTTGTGCGTCGGCTTCAAACTTGTTTCTTGCGTTCGACTATTTCTGTATCGCGTCTTTTGCCTCTGGGAAGACATTCTCGTCGATGTATTTAAATATACATATGTATATAGGCATCTATGTATTTATCTACATATCTATTGTATATATATATATGTATATTTCGAAATTAGCCGTGAGCAAAATTGATCTTTAATCGATTCGAAGGTTTTAGAGCGTTTCTTTTTCTCTCTCTCTCTCTTTCTCTCTCTCTCTCTTTCTCTCTTTCTCTCTTTCTCTCTCTCTCATTCTTTTATTCTTTTACTTTTTTATTTTTTTTATTTTTTTTATTTTGCCAAATTCAATTCTTTTCCAATCATTAGAAAAAAATTACAGACCGCATTGAAATCGTCTGTAAAACATTTCTCTCTCTCTCTTTTTTTTTTCTTTCTTTTTTCTTTTTTTTTTTTTTTTTTTTTTTGGAAAAATTTTTCTCCCCCATATCAAACGAACAAATAATCAGCCAGTCCATTTATACAATGGCATTATTTTTGATCTTATTGATTTTAACCAATCGTTTCATAGGAAGAATATAGAATGATGGTGATTGATTCAATATCAGTATGCACGTGCATAATTTCTGCAAGAACGTGTCAATGTCAAGTTGAGATGATCGAAAGAGTTAATGATATTCTTTGATCTTGAAAATGATCCAGTCGAGTAATTATATCGATTGTTATTTCATCTCGACGTTTTTACTATTATTATTAATGTTAATCTATTAATCTTAAAAGATTTATTCCTTATCATTGAATAGATGAACATGTGAAATCTATTTTTATTATTATCACCGACAGACTATGATACTTTTAATTTTGTTCTTATTATATCATTTTTAACTTGTCTAACGTTAACAATCAATGCCAAAAATTTATAAATATATATATATATTTTTTTTGTATTGTATATATATATATATATATATATATATTATTTATATATATTTTATTTTCATATGTTCTTTTTTTTCTTTTTTACGTTTGACATATAATTTATTAAATGATTAATAATAAATTGGTTGGGACGAAGATAGAGAAGATTGGATAATTTAATAAATCGTAAAATAATCCCGATGTGTCTGGACATATAATGTTTTTTCTTTCCTTTTTTTCTACTTCTTCTTTTTTCTTTTTTTTTTTTTTTTTTTTTTTATTTTTTTTATTTTTTGAAGCGAAAAAAAACAAAAAGAAAAAAATTATTTATTTATTCCTTCATCAATGAGATAAATTGAATAAATTGAATTCGGGACGTATTAATTTATTATTTTCTATTTAACAGATTAATGTTAATTTCCAATTCTTGGCAAAATCATTGAGACCTTGATCTTTCCAAAAACTTGGAACACATCGATATATTTTCAGAAAGAGAGAGAGAGAGAAAAGAGAGAGAGAGAGAGAAAGAGAAAGAGAGAAAGAGAAAGAGAGAAAGAGAGAAAGAGAGAAAAAGAGGCAGTGAGAGAAAGATAGATGTATGCGTATGTATTATACATTTCCGCGGCTTTACGAGATCATGATAAATTTGACACGAGATCATTTTTGTTCTTGTCTAACGGGTTCTAAAGGAAATAGGAAATTGAAGTATTTTATTTTATCATTTTTATTTATTATAATTTTTTTCCTGTCTCTCTCTCTCTCTCTCTCTCTCTCTCTCTCTCTCTTTCTCTTTCTCTCTCTCTCTCTCTCTCTCTCTCTCTCTCTCTCTCTCTCCTTCCCCCTTCCCATAGGTGATTTATATTTCTTTCGTTATTTCTTTTCGATTTGCACGTCAGATATTTCGAGATTATAAAGTTTCTCGATAAGCCCTTCACTCCTACGTTACGAAGGATGAAAGTGGAAGAGCGACTTTGACCACTCTGTCCATTTTTTTTCTTCTTCTTCTTTTTTTTTTTTTTTTTATTTTTTATATATCCCTCTTTTCTCTTTCCTTTCTCTCGTCCTTCTGCTTTCATTTTAATTTCAATTATGCTTTTTGCTCGTTAATTTTTACGCGTTTAAGAAACTCTCTAAAAAAAAAAAGAAAAAAAAATGGAAAAAAAAAAGAAAAAAAAGAAAAAAAAAGGAAAAAAAAGGAAGCTCTATCTAGATATGTATCTCTTGTAGATTAACGAGAGTATTACGAAATCGTTGAAACTCTCTCGAGGAAAGA